TATTTTGTAAGCATCCTCAAGAATCCTAAAATCCATAAGCTGTAAAAATAAATAAATAAAAAGAACTGTAAATTTAAGAGTCACACTAATCAAGCACTAACTGTAAAATAAGTATTTACAATGATAAGTTTCAAATTGTACATTTTTATTTTACGTATAACCTTACTGACTGAGCTTTAAAAAATGTGTTTTGAACAAATCCAATGTGTGCATCTTTAGTTGATTTATTGTGTAATTTTTTAAGCATTGACAGCTCAGACTTATCTAAATACAGTGCGTTATTTGTGTAAAAGTTCATAAGCAGTGTAATAAACATTTTAAATCTTTTTATAATTTTTTTGAGTATGTTGGAATAATTGGATGTGGAACGACTGAATTTTTTCTCCATAGTCCCACGATTTTCCCTACATAAGTGACTGTTAATAATAACTGTTTACTGTTAATAATAAAAAAGTAAGATATACTTCATGTTTTCATAGAATTGTTTACGTAGTTTATTTTGTACATTAACTAGAACCTCTATATTTCTGAGAACAAACGAATGAATTTAATTTTAGTTATTTTATGTTTTTATTTTAATAAAAGATTGTATATCACCTTCAGCAATCTTTTAAAAAAAATTGCTTCAGTTTTCTTATTACCTTACAATAAGAAAAAAGAAACGTTTAACAATATATGCCGCTCATAATAGTCCTATGGTAACTCTGAGAGAGAAAAACCCATTAAATTTATTTGAAAAATAGATTATGGCAGCAATTTTTTTTTTTAATTTTTGCTACGCGTTCAGTAACTTGTAATCATGCCTCAGAAAGTGCAACTTTGACTACTTCTGTACTAGAATGCTATTACCAAAGATTTATTATTGCCGAATGATATTTCAAGTTTAATAGTCTTCTGACAACTTTAAGTAGAATTCATTGTCATTTTATCGCCAAGTAATACTGATTACCAATCAAAGTTACGACCATTTTCCAAGTATCTAGAGAACCAGAATCTTAATTAAAATTCTGTGTAATACTATTTTTAATTGTTTCCTAATCACTATTAGCTGAATTTATAATTGATAAAAATTTCAATCCCCTTCTGTCTAGCTAGCGTTATGATTTTAAGTGCAAACACACGGTACAACTGTTTCCTAACTGTTTTTAGCAAAATTTAGAGTGAATCAATATTCTGAGACATTTCGATTTGAACAAACTAACATACAATTAAATAAAAAATAATTAAAATAAAATAAAATTATAACTACGTTTTTGAAGTGAACTAAAGTTTTTTTTTATGAGATCCAAAATGGAAAACGTAGTCTTTAACTTTATTTTACCACGTTTATATCAACTTGCCTTCGTGTATGTCTGTTCGGATGGAATTTTGTAATCGATTTTAAACTAACTTCCCGACTAGCTACTGACTTCAAATTTGGCACATAGTTCAGAATTAGATGACAATGCATCAAAATGAAGAGAAAAGAGACAAACAAAGTAAAATCAAATTAAAATTAAAGAAAAATTAATATTTTCGAAATTGTCTTTTGTTGTCGATTCGATTATTTCAAATTAGTGTCACATGTCAGTTGAAATTGTGTACAGTGGTGAAAAAATACAGATTTTAGAAGTGAGTAAAAAAAAATCAAAATAATATTTTTAAAAACCACGTTTTTGCAGTGGAGAATAATAATTAAAAAACAAAATTTGAAAAACGAAAAACGTGGAGCGCATGAAATACATAACAGTACATATACACATTTTCTTACTCATACACATGCACAAACACATACACATTCAGATACAATTACAGATATACATACACATATTCTCATGATCCCACATACTGTTACTGTAATGTATTTCACGCGAGTACATATACACATACATATACACATTTTCTTATTGATACACATGCACAACCACATACACATCTACATTCAGATACAATTACAGATATATATACACATATTCTCATGATCACGATAGTGTTACAGTTATGTATTTCACGCGCCCCACGTTTTTAGTTTTTTCAAATTTTTGTTTTTTAATTATTATTCTCCACTACAAAAACGTGGTTTTCAAAAATATTATAGTTCTTTTAATTTTTTTATCGTGATAATAAATTACGTTAACATACATAAATTTCATAACAAATTATAATTCATAAAAGAGGGAGGAACAAAAATCATACATCTTGTAAATTCTGTAAGAGCTTGTATGTGAACCACCGAGTCCTGTAAAATAAATTTAAAATTTAGAGAAACATACGCTTAAAATTTCAAGTAAACCTATTCATGCAAATTAGTGGAATCAAATGCCCTTTTTCTTAATAAATATTGAATAACCTCTTTTAATAAATGTGAAAAATCCTTTTTAATAAACATTGAATGCACAGGTGCTTTAATGCTGTACTTCCTAACCTTTTTACAGACGCGGACCATTTTACGTTAGATAATTTTACAGCATCATGCTGAAAGGGGGAGGAGGGACTTAGTTTATATTTTAGATTGTTGTGATTTAATCATTTTAATTTAATCGTGTTTAAACAAGCTGCCTTCAAAATAAAATACAATTACATGTGTGGTATTGGTGCGGTTTTATGTGATGTCCCTCAACCTCTCGACCATGGAAAGGAAAATCGTACAAACCACAGAGAAATACATTACATAAAATGAAAAAAACTTAATGCTTCGTGAGCGGCCCGGTATCATTAAATTCACAGACACCGATCCGGGGCTGGAAACCACTGCTTTAAAGGAAACTGAACTTCCTTGATCGTATTTTAAATTATCAAATTAAAATAAATATTAGTTTTGTTAAGAATCTGTAATCTCATTGATGCATAGAAACAATTTGCGTACTCCAAAACTTTAATTAGATAATATTATAAGTTTATATTCCTTTAAAATACTAGGAGGCTCCACTCTCGGCTCGCTCCGCGTACTAACTGACATATAGTTCGTCCATGGAAAGAACTCCCCTCACCATTCACCTGAAGCAGTAGTGGGGATTAAAGTTACGAGGCTTCACTATTTCAAATGGGGATGTTGGGTCAATATTGAGGAAGGTTATGGCTGAGGAAAAGAAGATCAGGGGAGATAGAAGCTCCCCTCTTTGAAATTCTTATTTCCATAGCAACAGAGAGCCATGAATTTTGTGAAGTGGAAAGTGTTTTTTCTATTGATAAACTATAATTGCTTATCATTCATCATTGTTTTTCTATTTTAAAACTCAATGTTTTCTAAAAAGAAAAAACACACAGAACGTTTTGTTTACAATTGATGTAGATTTATTTAAAAACATTCTGTTTATATGTTAATCGTAACGAAATAGACAATTACCTAGATTTGAGAAATAATCATCTATTTTTGCAAACAAAAAATTACTTAAGGAATAGAAATTGTGTGGATCAACAAGAAGAAATAATTTTACTCGTTGACGAAACTTATAACCATTCAATTAGGGAATGGTTTTTATAGCTTTTTATTAAAGTTTTTTTTATACTTAGAAATTTCATTATAAATCCAACGATTTATATCTTTTAAATTGAAATTTCACTGTCGTTATTTTGTTACTTTTGACTGAACATCAACTCCAGTGGATGCTTATAAAATATGGATTTTATGAGGGAAAAATAAATTTTCTAAAACAATGGATAAATAGAGAATATTTAAAGCAAAAAAACTGAAAAAAATTCTCGAAAAAGAACTTAAATTAACAAATAAATTTACAATTACTTTCAAACAAATTGGAATTTCGAAAAAAAGAGTTAATTCATAAACAAATGTGTCCCCTTTCAGCATACCCAGTTTCAACTATGTTGCTGCATTTCTATGGCCTATAGAGTGGCTCTTGTGTTATTTTTTCAATCAAGTTTAACAGTTAATTATTCCCGAATGTTAAAGGTTTTTATTCCATTGTATTCTCGTAATTTCAAGTTTCTAATGTTTCAAGTTATAGTTTTTGCATGGCAACCAAAAAAAAAACGTAATGCTTAGTTAACACCCAAAGTACTTTCATCAGCTCTTACAATTTAATATATATAGAGATAAACAAACGTCTTAGTGAGTGTGAGGTGAAGGAAAAAAAGTGAAGTTGTTGCATGTTTCATATCTAATCAATTTCTGTTCGCCTATCTGGTTTGTAAATAAAGTTTTTATACTAAGTTTGTATAGAAAAATTGTATATAAATTTTGTATATTAAAATAATATGATCTGCTTTTATATTAACACAGAACAAGTATTAACGTAGAACATTAACACACAAATATTAATACATAACAAGAATTAAGGCAGAACTAATATAATATGTTCGGCTTTTATATTAACAGTTTGATACATTTTTAAACCATTAATATATATTAACATTAATTTTAATTTTACAAACAATAATTCAGAAATTTATCGTTTTTTTTTTGTTAAACGTTCAAAAAAGTAAGAAAAGATAGAAATATTAAATTAAATTGTTTGGAAAATGCGAATTTCGTTAGATTAAGATAATGAAACGTACAAAATTTGAAAATTCTAAGTGCCAGTTTCAGCATACGCTGACTTATTTAGAAGTAACAGAGATATTCACGAAGTCACTCTAGATCCTCCAAATGCATTAAATTCATGGAGACATTCTGGGTGACCCAAAGGACAAACAAACTATTGGATGGCTATATATTATATTATATTATATTATATTATATAACTATAAATGGAAAACAACCATATTATTGTTATGAGCAAGCTAAGTCTCTTATAGACTTCCTGCAACTGTAATCAAAACAGAAGTAAATAAAATTCGACAAACTTTAGTTCCAGTTCATATGGTAAAAAAACTATTGCGTAGAAAAAGTTCAAATGGTTCATAACTGATAATCCAAAGCTCAATGGTTTAAAATGTTAAGTTTATATAGTTCATAGCTGATGAGCCAAACAAAAAGATTTTGGTTTCATGTAATTAAGATAAGAAAAATATTACATAAATATATTTTTCTAAATGAGAATATTTTTAATGAAGATTACTTACTCACAAGGAGTATTGTTGCACATTTTGAAACAAGTATTTCGATTTTCATCTGGGACTTTTTCATCTAAAAAAAAATAAAAAAACAAAAAAAAGTATTTACGATAGAGTATAATAAAAAATATGGATCTTAAACTTTTTCTCACTTAGAGTCGTTAGAATGTATTCTTAATTTGTAAAATAATTATTCAAAAAGCTAAGTGAGCAAACATTTACTACTCGCGTGATAAAAGTTATTAATTTTCAAAATTATTAAGCATTAAAATTATTAAAACATGATGCTGTTCTGATTAGAGTGCTGAAATGTTGAGGTAATAATTAAATTACTACTTTTAAAATCTTTTTTTTTTCAAGTTTAATTTGTTGCTGCCTTCTATTTTTCGATTGAACTCTTGTTGCTTAACGTGAATTTTTGTGAACAAATTGGTTTTATCAGTCTTCATCGAGCTCAACTACATCAAGCATTATCCAAAGCGAGGTGCTCAGTTTAGCCGAAATGCCACCACTGAGGATTGAACTCCAGTCCTTCGCAATGACAGCAGAGCTAATATTTGACTTAGAACTATTTAGTGACACTATCTAGTATGTGCATTTCACCGTAAGTACATTTTTACATTTAACCTGATAAAATAAAAAGCAAGTAGATAGTACTGTTTCTTTTGAAGAAATAAGGGTCTAATGTATGAAAATTACAGTTCTTGACCTATACCCTTTTACTTACAAAACCTTTACACATTCAAAACTTTTTGATCTATCCACTACATTTTGATTATAGTGGATGAAGCGTTAAAGAAACACAAAGGGAAAAAAATACCTAATTTGCCGAGATAGCCATATCAGAATTTATACCCTTTTTTACCAGCTATCTTGCAGTAAGTATCAATCTGAGAGATGGAATATAAAATACCCCACTTCCTTAAAATCATGTTTAGAACAAGTAGTAACAATGATAAACATTGCCCATTTTTTTTACAACACAGCTTCACCAAATAAATTTTATGAAGTAGAAAACCTAAGAACTTTCATACAATATATAACGTTATTTGGATATACAGGGTGTTTTACTTAAATAAAGCCACCTTGATTTTGTGCCATAATTTGACGCAATCCCATATGAACTAAACATGTATATTAAGTAAGTCTTTATCTAAACCCATATTTAGAAAAAGAAAATCACTCCCTGCTCCACCTGGACGCGAAGAAAAATCGAATAAATAAGAAAGGAGAGGGAAATTGTCCTATAAAAATAAAGCAACTTCTCATAATAGCTAAAATATCCACTATATTTATATGTGATTGGTTATTTGCATTGCGAACCGTTTACTAATATCTGGAAGACATTTAGTTTCAATATTATGCCTCCTAGTGTACGTCAAAAAATATTCTTGTCATCATTAGTCTTCTTACTGGACACTGCATACACAGGAGACACCTATACATAATGGGAATTGAATCTAATTCTCTTTTTTGAGGTTGTCATCTTGAAGAAGAGACATCACGACATATACTTTGTGATTGTGAGGTCTATTCTGCTTAAAGATTTGAGTATTTGGGGCAGCATTGCATTAAAACCAGGGATGTTCCTGTAAGGTGTCTGCTGAATTTTAATTCAGCTATAGGGCTTTCATGCTAATCATAATTTAGGGTTTGGGTACAATAGACCTCTGGTCGATGTGTACTGATTTTGGGAGGTGCACAACCTTTAAGTCTAAGTCTAATCAATATTATGCCAGGTTTCAATGGTAACCTTAATTATGCCACAGCTAACACTCTCCTTTTTTAGTATATAGAAGTGCGCTGGGGATAACCCCTCCCGTTTTCTTGGGGATTGTAGTTAAGGAATTAAACAGTCCATTAATGAAAAACACACTTCTTCCATAAGCAGAACAAACTAATACAGGCCTGAGTCGTCTAAACATGATATTTTCATCTGGCGCTAAGTTTCACCATCTATTGATGGCTATGATATTTAAGTCTTTTTCCGGAGAATCAATATATCTGGTGTTTGGTATTCTTCTATTTTGGCTTCCAGTAAAAGTCAGCTTCTAGAACACCACTGTGAAGATTTTTCAACGTAAATTGTAGCAGCATCCTTTTAGAAAATCTGGCATTGGGAAACCAAATCTCTATCGGCAAGTAGCGAGGAATGAGGTTACTTTTTGGTAATCAGTGGCCTTCATACGGCCTGAGAAAAAGTAATGCTAAATTTACCATGATAAGGTAACCGAAGCCTTTCTACACCATAAAAGAGCTCTGCCACCTCACTGCTGTCCATTGGAGAAGATTTTATAAGTTTTCTCATATATTGTTCCATTTTATGCACCATACAAACAATTTGTTGTTGGAAAGATTTAAGCGGCATTTTAAGTTGAAAACTTACCTCAAGCAAAGGAAAGTAGAAGGAAAAAAGAATTTTGATTATCCAGGCAGTTTTGTGCATGGCATGACACACTAGCATGGCATGAGAAAAAAGGTTTTCTTCTTCATTATCATTACTCAGCAAGATGAAGGCTCATTAGTCGGGTATGAAGGATGCAGCCAATAAGGTCAACTTGAAATGGTTTCTCATCGAAAAGATACCAATTGGCAAAAAATGCTTGATATCCATTTATTGCCCTTTATAGCAAAAATTAATGGTCCAGGTCAGATTTTCCAGCAGGATAATGCTTAAATATATGTTGAAACATTTTCATAGTGGTGGTTTTTGAATTCGAGGTTGCATGGCATGACTGGCATATCATTTCTCATTAAATGTGGATGGCTACCCCCAGTCAGGCTATATATATTAAAATGGATAGTTTTAGTCTGTGGTAGAATTAATGGCAGTAATCTTTGAAACCTGGCACAATATCAATGTTACCGTAAAATGCTAAGCATTGTTAACGTAATAGGTAAATGTTAAGCAATATCGCATATTTCAAATCCTTTATGAATGTGGTAGGGGGTATTTTGTCTACAATCGGAACTGCTTTATTTCAAAAGGACACTTTCTCCCTCCCCTCAATTACTTATTAACTTTTTCCCTATCCGGTTTAAGCGAGGAGTGAACTACTCCTTATAAATATGTGTTTAAATGTCGATTTTTTTTAATCTGCATGTTTGGTTCGCATTGGGTTTCTTTGAGTAAAATTAAAGCTCAAAACCAAGGTGGCTGGGGCACTTAGATATCTGCAACTTCAGCTTACACACACTGGTTAACATAATCAGAAACAGAAGCGATATAACCCCGCCTTGTTCGGGTCTGGTACGAGTATCATGATGCAAGGCAGATTCTGCTGGCATGAAAGTGGTCCTTTGGTGTCTCTTAAGTGTAAAAAAAGGCCGGACAGCATCAGGACACATTGGCAGATCGAATTCTTCCTAGAATAGTACATTTTTGAAACCAAAAATGATGGATTTTTTATTGACGATAATGCAACTGCAAGAACGTGCAAGAGACTTACAAAGTTGGCTCAATGAACATCCATCGTACTTACAGCACCATTTTTGGCGATCTCAAAATTCGAAATCTTTACCAGATAAAAATAGTTTGGAACGTGTTGGAACGACACATCTGACAGGAATTTCCACTCTGAATACGGTCTGTTTTTCGTGAAAAAATAAGAGATCAAGAAATATTAATCCAAGATTTTTAAATCATTGGCCAGTGTATGTAACTTCGAATTTTTAAGCCTATTTATATTTGTATCAGAAAGTTCTGGTAGTTTTATTACCAAAATTGTTCAAATAAAGTAAGTAGTCAAAAGTTTTTAAGGCCAAAATGCTTAAGTTTGATAATCCTTTTTTTATAAATAGAAAGATAAAGTAAGAAATAATATAAAGTAAATATTAATCCTTTAGCAAATGTATGTAAATACATTATTAGAAAATTTTGAAAAATATTCAAACCAAATTATTATTTCTTCCCCATCACAAATTATATAGTCTTCTAATGCATCCTTAGATAACATCGTGTTCTAAAATTTTGTACATAATTATAAAACTTTTTAATCAAAAAATAATTCCTGTGAAAAAAATAACTTTAAATATTTATTTTCTTAAATATTATTTAGCGATGGCCAAAACACTGTAACAAATTTGAAAATAGGTAATTTTAAGTGACAAAATACAAAATTTGAATGAAATCTGCTTAATAGTTCCTGAGAAATGAACATTGAAAAATAAAACTTTTTAAAAATTTTATTACTTGGAAATATTTTGACCTTTTTGTTGAAACTTTAGATTTTATCCCCTGAAATGACCCAGTTTAAAATTATATAAACAATTTTAAGTCTAACAAATCAAACTTTTTTTTAGATAGATAAATTAATAAAATATAATAAACAATTATTAATTTCATTCAAAAATTAAAATAATTTGAAAAGTGTTTCATTATTCTTCCAAAAAGTTTCGGATAAATGCAAAATGCATTAAAAAGGAAATCAACATTAAGGGCCCGGACCTTCGAGAACAGAATGTCTCCTTGTGAGATGATTCTTTCAAAATATTCTCAGTTCCACGACATAGTGCTTCTGAAGCTTGCTTCAAATTCCATCAACCTTTGAGTGGGCAAACTATGTTTCGACGACTGATTTTTTTGAAAGATCCATTTCATAGTATTTAAGTATCGTCATTATTCTTTATTTAACAATATTACTTTTATAAATATTTTTAGCAATTCTCTCAGAAAGCAAACTACAATAAAAAAGGCTAAGATATTAAAGTCAAAACATCTTCGAGCGAGCACAAAAAGTTCAAGTCAGGGGATTGACCCAATCACGAAGTGTTAATTAAAAATTTGTTCCTCGTGTGCGGACAGTATCTCATTTTCACTTCCTTCAAACATGTTACAAATATTGACTTTACAAAGGATTCAAAGCATAAATTTTGTATCAAAAATATATTTTACCTTACCTTTTTTACACAAATTCGCCATGTGACTAATACTTATTGAACGTGGTGCACATCCATATTGCTCCATGTGAAGATTGAAGATGCAAGTTTCCATGCAATCCTAAAGAAATGTAAGTAAAATAAAAATAAAATTGTGTCACAAATAACTTTTTTGTATAAATTATGCTAAAAATGCACCAAAACAAATCAAGTAAATTAGATTGAATTAAGATAAAAAGCATATTAAAGAAATGCAGCTTTTATTGATAGCAATTAACACCAAATAAACCATAATGCCAAAATAATGATTTATTAATACACTCATTTATAAAAAAATACTTCACATATAAACTTGATACATTTTTTTAAAGCTTATTGTACTTATTCTAATCTTTATTTTAGTACTTTACAGATAAATTTTTTTAAAAAAAATAGGGCTGTGCTGTGATGCTACTATAGGCATTACATATTTCCAAGCTTTTAAACTTTCCTTAATCTCATAAATTAAATTTTTTAAATCATCCTTAATCTTTTAATTAAATTGAACTAATTATTCAATTTTTATAACATTTTATAAAAAGCAATTATAAAAAAATTTATTCTCTTCATAATAATCAATATAACTGCTTTAATTTAATACAAATGTATTACTCATCAATTCACTATCGCGTCGAAATGGAACACCAAAATCTATTTTTAACTCTTAATTTCTTAAGCTAATTTCTCTCAGAAAACAAAAATGTTTCAGTTATATTAAATTTGTACGATCTTTTTTGGTGATTAAGCTATAGCAAATTATTTAAAATTAAATTTAAATTGTTTCTGGCTATTTTATCTTATACCCACCACGGATGTCTTCCAATGTATGAGTTCGTAAGGAACAATTCAGTTACTGCTTGTTTTAAATTCTTGGCGTTAGGGCTTGGGGGTTTCGTCCCCCAGTCCAATCGTTATTAATTTTAATAAATAATTTCATCATGTTTGAAGATGCATATTTACATGTCTTTTATATGCGTGTGACGGGTACTATTTCGCTTGCTTAATTTTATAATGGTCAATACAACTTAAAAGCGGTTATTGCTTGATATATCAGTCGACTATCAATTCTTCATATAAGCAGCGTACAACATGTATTTACTATAATCATACCTTCATAAAAATCTATTGGAAATCATTTTTCCTCATCACAAATCTGGAGTGAAACTTCCTCCACCATAAGCGCTGATGTAATGCAATGTTTCTTACTAATCTTTTAAACTATCCACAACTTGCTGTACTCATAAGCCAAAAACATCATCCAAATTTGACTCAGTCTTGATTTTTTTAAAACTATATACATGTAGTTTCTTCGCACGTAGAATTTTTAAAAAAATTATTTTTCTTGCAAAATGGAATAGAAAATTCAAAAAATTACATAAAACAAGTTAAACTTTCGTGTATTACTCAAAGCCAATCTACCAAATTTAAAAATTCCTACATGTAACAAAAACTGTGGATATATATATATTGTGAATATTGCGTCAAGAATTGAAGTAAATCGGCTGAAAATTGTACTAATAAGTAAATTGGGTTCAAAGTTACGTGTTTAATAATCCAAATAAATATATAAAATCTTGCAAATTAGCGCATCAATACTAGATGCATAAGACGCTTTTTCTCGATCATTTTCGGTATTCTTACGTGCTAGTCTGGCCCGTTTTCCTGTCAGTCTATCCTTATATGTCTTTAGAGTAGCAGCCGAAATTTCGGGGTCATCTTCCTTTTGAGCACATTCTTCGGTTGCTGGGCCTGCTCTTATTTCCAATTGTTTCAGAACTTTCAATAACCCTTTTCAACCTTCATTTAAAATTATTGCTGCTAAATAAGTTGCAATATCAGCTATTTATGTAGAAAGTGACATTAACTACAATAGTTATACAATCGAGAAATTAAGAGAATTTCTCGATTGTATAACTATTGGACCGATTTTAATGAAATTTAGTGTGTATGTACATTGATACAATGTCAAACAAATAACCATTCAACAATTGTAATATACAAGGATGATCGTGCTTAAAGCTTGTTGGAGTCGGAAGCTGTGAAAAAGCGGTTGTAAGATAAGCAAAAAAAAAAAAAAAAAAAAAAAAAAAGAAAAGATAAAAAAATGGGTTAATAGGGGGTATGGTCCCCTCTTACAGATATACACGCCTTGCAGCGTGATTTCATACTTGAAATAAGACAGTTTATCATTTCCTGTGCCAATTGGCCTGAATTGTCCTGTGGCAATTTCATACCTTCCGACTCCAACGAGTGTTATGCACTATCATGCATGTGTATTACAATTGTTGAATGGTTATTTGTTTTCTATTGTATCAATGTATGTACAATGTATGTAAGCAAATTTCCTTAAAATCGGTCCAGTAGTTCTAGAGATAATCGACCAAGTCTGTAAATTTACTTAACTTCCTACACCAGTGTATTTTTCTTGCATATTTTAGACAAATTATTTCAATAAAATAGTTAAAATGATAGTGTTTTACAAAAATATTTTGTTAGGAGTGAGCACATCTACTCGTCAATTGAGCGTACAAATTCGCCTTTTCATACTCGTCACAGAGGGTCATGCTATTCACTCGACATCTCTTACATTTTTACGAAGCTCAATTCAATAATTTCTTTTTATTCTTTGTAAATTTCACTGCTTTACCCTTAAAATACCAATTAAGTTAAATTCTAAAATAAAATTACTTGATTTTTTTTTCTAAGGCAACTAGTCTAAACTAAGATTATCAAGGCTACTTAGAGCATATTTCTTACTATCTAAATTAAATGTGTTATTTATCTCTGTTCACCTGTTTTAGATTAGTTTGTTTTTGGTGACTATCTAGCGTCTCCTGGAGCACGTGAGTTTAGACGTTGTTACAGTTTAGAGTCAGTGAGCATTAGTAAATAGCAAGTCTGTATACAGACGGTAACAATGAAGTTCAGTCTTAGCAATGCAATACAATAAATCAGTACTTTTCAATAAAGAAGGGTATACAATAAAGCAGCATACCATTATATCAACGTTTTCGTCGGTACTCCCTTTAGGATTAAAGAATGTGCATTTCGTATCATAAGGGTGGGGTAAAAGATGCTGCTCTACCTATGAAAAAAATTTTAAGTTAGCATTTTGTTAGTTATAGTGGTGAATAAATTAAATCTTGCAGAAGTGAATGACACAAATGCTATCACAGGATGGAATTAAATTGGAGTTCTAGTAAATGAAAATCTAAACATTAGAAGGAATAGTTATTTTAGCTAAGTGAATAATAAAATAAAAAGTTTATAAGTAGCCTTTTTCAAGTAGCTCAAAAAAAGAAAATAATTTTGTTTTCATCGAATAAAAATAAACCTTAAAGAGTGCATCACTTTCTTAATAAATTTCTATCATCATTAGAAGCCCTCCACGTTTTTCAAAAGTGACGCACCCTACATTTTTCGTTTTTGAAGTGATAAAAATAGAATCAGTATTATCTCTTCTAATTCCCCTCAGAAAGCGTACTTTTCAAAAATTTTATTTTATTTTATTACTAACTGAATACCTCTTCTTTGTACGGGGTGAAAAAAAAATAAGCACCAATAAATTAATACTGGACAATACTACAAAATTGTACTCAAAGTAAGACAAATACCACACAAGACAAAACACCGTATAAGACAAATACCAACACAAATAATAAAGGCTAAAATAATTCAAAAGTTCCTTATTTATTTAATCATTTATTTTATATTTTATTATTAATACATATCTCTCTCTTGCTTCCTCGTGTTCCCAACGCTGCTTAACATTGCTTCGCGCTGTCCAACTCTGATCATAAAAGTCCCTTTCTAGTTTTGTTACTTCCTGCAGTGGACTAACCATAAAGGCATGGCTCCCAGTAGAACACCGAAGTCAAGCATCATTGTCTGCGGTCAGTAAGCGGGTGGGTGACCACTTTGATCAACCTGCGTAGGGACCGAGGGTGCGTGGTATCGGTCTTCGTTAAACTCTTCTACCGTAAAGTGCTCAACTTCACGCGCGGGTCACCAAAGCAGGGGAGCTATCCCCTATGCAGAGGATCAAAATGGCGATGGCAAGTCTTCGAATCATTCTTATGGACGTTTCCCAGACCGTCGCCAATAGCCCAATCTAGTGCGGCTTAAATAAAATACCTACATACTTTTGTTGCCCATGTTTTCAAACTAAATGAAAGTGGAGAAAAGATAAGTGGTCGCTACTACAACTTGTATGAGGTCAGTACCATCTATTTAATTTGGGTAACTTAACTTACTTTACTTTAACTTACTGATTATTCCTGTCTCATCATGTTTAGTTTTGTTGTAAGAGTTATAGTCTGTTTTGGCTGGCACCGACCACATCCTCAGTGGTAGACGGATCATGGGTTAAAGTCCCCTCACCGTCAAGCTAACTGTGGAAGGCTTCATGGTTTTCCTCACCATGTAACGCAAATGCGGTTAGCTCCATCAAAAAGTTCACCACGATGGCAAAATTTCTTTCAATACTTGATCTAGGAGTTCCCTTGTCTTCTGGATTGGGTTCAAGGTTACAAGGCTATGAGTTAAACATTAGTAGTCGTAAACGCAAAAAATTGGGTCGGTTGTACAACGACGGTTGAAAAATAAATTGTATATAAATAGCTTTCGCATTTTTACGTTTCTTCCCGCCCTCTCCCGTATTTAAATTATGAAGCAATTGCGCATGTCTGTTCACTATTTTATAACGTACATTTTATGACGTGCCTAGTGCGCACTTCCCGGAAATTGTCTCATGCGGTGAAGCTTTAAAACTTACGAAAGGAGGAGTGCAGGAAGATTTCTAATGTAAAGAAACTCCACAGTTTTGAGAAAATGAATGTTTTGCGATTTAATTTTTTAATATTGAGCATATTTTCATATCATCAGTGCTTGAGCTCAAAATAGTATTCAAAAATAGAATTATATAAATAGATTTAATTTTTTTATTGTATTTTTTGGATAGATTGAAAAATTTTTCCAACCGGAGTATTACTACACGATTTTCAGCCGGTCTTCAGTTATCTCACGCTTGCAAAGTCTATCAGATCTATAGGTCGAAGATAATCAATAGGATAATTGTGAATAGGATAATAATCAATAATAATCAAAAGGATAATCAATAATTTTAAAACTAGAAGAAAAATTTTTGATTCAGAATCTAATGAGTAAAAATTTCTTGACTTGAAATTTATTAAGATATTATCCTCAATAAAATCAGCTCATCGGTTACAAACTTGGAGAGGCACTTCATAACAATGCATAGCGATCGAACCATAGACTGTAATGTCATCTTTCGCCTGTAGAAGCCAACAAACAGGATGTTATTACTTTTTTTTGTAATGATTGCCATCGAAAACTGCACCCAAATAGATCCAGAAATAGATATTTCATCGAAACATAATGAATTAGTCTTGTTCAGCTCACTAACTTGGTTAAAATGAAAGAACCGCCAAACATCCAGTTAATAATAAAGAAATGCCTATCTATTTTGCATATAATGACACTACCGCTCATGGGTTGCAAGCTCGCAAGTCACAGAAGATAAAAGAGAGCAGCATATAGATCCCCATCATTACCATAAACTCAACTGGTTTACAAGAAATATTCGTTGCTTATGTCACCCGATTAATATAATGACACTACCGTTCATGGGTTGCAAGCTCTCAAGTCACAGAAGATAAAAGAGAGCAGCATATAGATCCTCATCATTACCATAAACTCAACTGGTTTACAAGCAATATTCGCTGATTATGCCACCCGATTCTATTACAAGTTTATAATAGCTGTTTTGAATTACCTAGTAGATTAAAGAGAAAGATTTAGTGGGAGGGCAGTTGAACTCCAACTGCAAGGTTTCGTGCTTTTTAAGGCCACTGCAGGTAGCTGGCATGGTATTGGCATACCAGAAACTGCCAAAGTTCATACAAAAATGATTAAGAAGGAGTTAATGTAGAAAAATAGACATATAATTGATCCTTAAAGCGATGTGTATATTAAAGAAAAAATCTTTTAATGATTCTAAGAAATAAGAGACTACCCAGAAAGAATGTAACCTTACGACAACCTTGAGTCGGAATTCTCTTTTTACTGTCACGAAAATGTTTGCACTGCCGACCGGTCTGTGTAGGGGGCAGGGAACTGTCCTTGCATCAGACAGGTCCTGGGTTCAAATCCCGGGCAAGGCATGGATGTTTCTTTCTCTCTCTGTGTGCTCTATGTCCTTATGTCCTTTCTCCTTTGTGTGTGAATGTGACCCGCCCTATAAACGGGTTGTGGTTGTGTGAATGGCGTGGCAGAAGTCGAATTCCTGGCCATAGATGGCGCCACTGAAAAACAGGAACAATAGCACCCCACTGCCTAAAAACAGGCATAAGAGAAAAAAAATGTTTGTACTAAAATCCTTCATTCAATAAAGCAAGAATATTGCTGTTTCAAACATTTCATACTAAATGGATTAAAATTTGTTTTTAAAGCTTTTTTAGAAAGGATTGTCACTTAGGAAGCTGAGCATACAAGACGTTGCGAAAAGAAACCTTATAATTACCTAGATGTCAGATTATTTTCACCTTAAGACTAGCTTTATTCAAGGACTTTTTCACACTTGAAAACGCTAAGACAACTTCGATTTTCAGGTTTTTATATAGAAGGTTGTTTTTCCAAGTTTTAGGATTAGGGTAATGTGTGTAGAGCAGAGCAGATTGTCACAAATCTCGCTTAAAGGTCATTTCATAATTGGCAGACAGTTATCTGGGTATAACTGTCAGCTAATTATGAAATGAGCTTTCAATCATTTTGCTTTCAATAAAGTCGGAGGCTCATCTCGTAATTCTACGACTAGACAGTTTTGTGAATAGTATTTTGTGAATAGGCTTTGTATTTTGTAAGGAATACTCACATACTCGGTGACTTTAATGAAATGAAATCCCGGTACTTCAAGCCTAATGCCATGTTTAAAAGGATTCACAAGCCTTCTGGAATCATGCATAGTAAAATAAATGGTCGGTTTAGCTCTAGGATCGAGATATTCATCAGCATTTAGTCTCAACCAAAAGATATTATCTGCGAAGAAAGTGTTTCATTATTTTAATTTTTGGATTAATAAAACTTTTTATTTTCAAAATAAGAGTGCAAAGCATACGAGTCAGGTTTAAACGGGTTATAAACAAAAGAAATTTTCGAACTGACGGTAAATATTAAGCTCTGAACAGCGCTCAAAATGTTTGTTTATGAAAACGAAGAAAGCTGAAAATGCGCGTTTGCGAAAATGGACATAGCATTTGATTCCGTTCTATTTTTATGAGCATCTTTTTAAAAGAATTAACTTAGGATTATAAATTTGTAATGCGACATCGTCCATTTGCATAAATGACTGGTATATTTTATTAAATTGATCTTTTGTTTTCTTAAAAAAAGACTTTAAATGTCAACAATTGTCTTTATAAAGTTGCTACGGATGCATTAACATAAATTAGTTGTTGTAAATTTACGTTGTACGAATTGAGAGTTTAAAAAATCACTTGATCGTTTAAAATTCTGAATACGTGGACATCATCTGATACGTACCCCCCCCCCCAGACTTCGAAGTAAGGGATTACGCCCCGTAGTGATATGTTTGGTATTTAATAAAGTAAGGAAATGAGAGCTCGCAATTCCCTGTTTAGTTGTTAAATTTGAATTGAAAACTGAAAGGGGGCTTTTTTTGCTGTCTATTTTCGTTAACACGTATTTTGAGTTGTGTCCATTTTCGTAAACGCGCATTCTGAGCTTTGTTTAGTTTCGTAAACGCGTACTTCGAGCTGTGTCCAGATTTAAAAACTCACCGATAAAATGCTTTTTAACCAGCTTCTATTTAACCTTTTGCCATCATAATAATGATATCCATACATAGTTATATCATATTATATTACGTACATATATATCAATTTGTTCATTTACCTTTAAAAGTTTGAACAGTAGTCTCATTTGTCCCGATAGTCTTATTTATACTTCTGTCAATAATAGTTCTATTGAAATTTGTCCAAAACCTTAGACGATGCTTTAATCCATAAGACCTACAAATTGCAGGTT